ATGCGAAATCATGACTCCGAAATGCAAGTGGCTAGGCTAGTGGAAGACGCCACGGCTGGACTCCAGGCGAAATCCTCTACAGGGGTTATTCTCCTGGACATAGTAAAGGCGTTCGACACAGTCTGGCATGAAGGAATAATCTGGAAATTGGCTAGCCTCTACAAACTGCCAACTAGCTTTGTGCAGTTTGTGGCAAGCTTTCTGAAAGACAGAAAATTCCGTGTCCATATTAACAATCACTTTTCCACGTTAAGACCAGTGGAGGCGGGAGTTCCGCAAGGATCACCCCTTTCCCCTTTTCTTTACAACCCCGTCACGGCCGACATCCCAAAGGAACCTGGCACAAAACTCGCCCTGTTTGCCGACGACACTTGTCTGTACTACACGACGAAAAACCCCAATTTCATTCCCCCTAAACTTCAAAGACATTTAAACAAACTCACAAACTGGACAAACACCTGGAAAATTAACATCAACGCCCACAAAATCTCAACCAGTCTATTATGAGTGTAAATTGAAAGTCCCTGATCACAATTTCAACTACATGAGCGGAGGTGCTGGCTATGTACTAAGCAAGGCAGCGTTACAAAAATTCGTTATAGTAAGGTGAACAAATTCTGGGCTCTTTAGCACGGATGTTATATATGTATTTTCTAGGAAGCTTTACCAAATATGTTGTGCAGACAGCAAAATAATGGCTTGGAGGACGTGGAAATAGGAAAATGCCTTCAAGCAGTTGGCGCAAACTTGGGCAACGAGAAATTACAGTCATCCCAAGTCAAAAAAATGGCCCGTTCAGAAAATTACGCAAAGGAAAATTAAATTGAGTTCTTCATTAAAAAATTATAATTGTTATTTAACAAGCACAGAGTTTTTCTACTTCAGAGCCATTTTTTCATATTTTCAGGTATCAAAATCGCGTTGTACGTCAAGATTTCTTGGGACTATATGTCGATTAGAAAATATGAGTATTTAATTTTTCGGAAACCGCATTAGATAAGTATAGAAAGCATTAAACAAAAAATTGTAAAACGCATAGAGCCTATCCAAATGTGTAATAATGCACATGGTCTCATTTAAACTAGTGAAGTTGTAGGTATGTCTTCAAATTGAGTTGAAGATTTTATCATAATTGTGCATCGCGTTCCCGTAAACGTCTAATACGGCATCGATCTGTACAGATTGGAAATTCTAAATTATGCGGTTCTTGCAATATTATATACTTTTAACGTGTTTTTATTTCGGTTAGCTCCGCCTTGGATCTGGATGAAGTGTAGTAGTAGTACTTTCACCGGTGACTTAATATAGTTAGTCCAATATTAAAATGATATGTGAACAATGGTGATATTAAAGTTTTATAGATATATATATTGATATGATTGTTACAAAAATGACGGTAAAATCCGTGTGCTAAAATGTAAAAATTTAACTTCACTTCAAGAATAAATCCTCAAGATGAAAGAAGACGAAAACTTAAATAATTTAATATTTTTGCATATCTACTTATTAACTTAAACGATATCTTACCGGTAGGGAATGTGCTTATTTTTATTACACAGAGCGTACATGACATCTCCCAGTGTTGATAAACTCTTATTTATGTTTTTGGTTTCCTGGAGTCGACAATCGGATCCAGATGTTCTTGCACTCTCTGACCCTGCCAGATCGACCAAATTGACAGACTCTTTATAAGCGATTCCGTGCTGAGGATTTGTGCCTACAAACACTTCTTAATTACCTCCGTAATTTAAGTAATAATTGACACTGTGTTAACCTGCAATATAAATCTTTGTTATTGCATGCGCCCTACTACTATGTGCATTGAAGTTAGTAGCCGCAGTGGAACGCAAATTATGCGCCAATGAAATAAATTTTTCCAATTCAGCAGCAGATTTCACTGGCTGAATGGTCAGATTCGTTACAGTAGTGCCATTTCCCTCATTGTAATGAATGTCAATTCTCTTTTGTCCATGCTGATTTAAAAGGTACCGGATTACTTCGTTATATACTTCTAGGAAACTCACCTACATATACAAATGTAATTTAATCATTACAAACCGTCGATAACTAAACCGGTAAAAAAAATGGAGGTAAGGGGATTATGTCGGTTGTGATTTGAGTTACGAAAGTTTCACGGTAACGCTCCTGAAGTAGTGAACAACGATGTTCATAATACAAATGTGCAATTCGATGAGACCTCAGAAAGCGAAACGTTGGGATTCTATTGGGACACCAGCAATCATTCTTTAAAATACTCTATTAATTGGTCCGCTAATAACACCATAACGAAAAAAAGTATTCTATCTTGCGTTTCAAAGATCTTCGATCCCTTAGGCCTCATTGCCCCAATAATAAAACCAGCAAAAATTATAATTCAAAGGTTGTGGCAGAGTCAATTAAGCTGGGATGAATCAGTTTCATTATCTACATTAACAGAATGGAGACTTTTTTACAATCAGTTAATGTTAATATCAATTTGACTATTCCTAGGAATGTTCATGTGAATTTCGTAGTGGAGGAGCTTCACGGTTTCTCAGATGCTAGTGAGCTCGCATATGGCGCTTGCGTCTATCTAAGAGCTGTGGACTCGTTGGACGAGTGTCAACAAAAATGAATTGCTTTTCCAGTAACAAGGATAATTTTTCCTTACTTGGACGATTTTCATCCTTACCAAGATTAGAGACAGTTTTCGCATATTGTTTACGTTTCATTAAGAACTGCCAACTTTCCTCGGAATCTAGATTGGTCGGAACTTTATCTCATAAGGAATTGAACCATAGCTTATTTCGGCTCGTACAATTAGTACAGGCGCAAGAGTTTAAGAGCGATATTCATGACTTAATGAAAGGAAGACCTTTATCATCAAAGGGCAATCTAATTTCATTGAATCCGTTCTGGGATTCTAACAATATTTTACGCGTGGGTGGTAGATTGCGACACTCTATCTTTCCTCTGGACAAGAGACATCCTGCAATTTTACCTGCTCGGCATAAACCATAAACTAACCGAATTAATTATTACTCATGAGCATAAGAGATCGCTCCATGCAGAACCGCAATATTTACTTTCCTCAATTAGGGAACGATACTGGCCGTTGTCTGGTCGCAATATAACAAGGAAGGTGGTAAGATCTTGTACAACTTGCTTTCG